GTTACTGGTGATAACATCACCTATCCCTACCCCTGTAGCCAAGGCCAGCAACCTGGGATTTGGTCATCTTTGTGTCTCACCCCAATGTGTGTGAGCCTCAGTATTGGATGCAATGTCCATGGCTCCTCTGAGATGCAATTGTTTATATTCTGCAAAGCAGAAATTCTTTTCCTAGCCCTCTATCTCCCATTCTCTGTTACTACAAACTCCTTTTCTCTAGCAGCCCTGTAGTTTTCCTGCCTTTTATCCATGTAGAATTCAGCTATTGAGGTCAGTCCCCTAGCCTATTAACCTGACCACATCACACTCTCATGAAATTCCCCAATTTACTTCTCTGGACTTCTCAATGTCCATCCCATCACACTCCAATATCTTGGTAACCTCATCCCCCTTCCCCCCATGTGTTGTTTTACACTTGTTGCACCTTATTTTTAGATCTGATTAGAAGCTCTTTAGGGAAGAATATGTTTATACAGCACACAGCCACGAGCCTGACTCGAGATCCTTTGAAGCTACAATGCTATAAATAGTCAGTACTTTTTACAAGCTATTTTACTGTCCTAAAGGTAGTGATTATGTGTGTGTTTGGGAGGGGAAAGGTTTTTGTTATTGCAAACTCCTTTAGCATCCCTGCAATTCACATTGTACCTGTGGTAACAGTTATGAGTTTAAGTAATTCAATGTTTTGTTTTGTTTTTTTTAAATTTGAGGGAAACTTTTGTGCTTCTAGCGTACAGAAACTACATGTAGGCTGGATGGCAAAGTATAAAACTATGTTTCTGGTATTTCTTCCCACTTTTTTTTTTAAACTAGAGTACAGAGAGGAAAAGGAGGAATTCTTTCAAGGAGTTTTGTTTTTAGGAGAAAATCTTTATTTTATTTATATGATTGGCTGTGCCTAAATCCGTTGTGACACTTGCTTCTGAGATGATCACTTTTGTTTCATTCCAATATTTCTATAAGAAAAAGAGATTTTGATTTATGACAAGGAGGAGCAGGGTGATGGGATAACTTTTCATTGACTTTAGTGTGGCTGGCAGTGAAAATGCAGCTGACCTATTCAATAGGACAGAGATGCATTTTTAGTTGCTGTGAATGTATATGAGAAGCACAGTTTTTTTTTAATTGATGGTATATTTATTGTCACTGAGACGCTTTCGACTTCAATGCTGAAATTCTCATTTAGGCTAAAATCCGATTGATTTCTATGAATAAAATGAGAATTGGGATTTTGGAAATTTTTTTAAAGATTCAGTAATGTTTTTAATATGTAGTTTGTCTGACTTTTTGACTTATGTCTAGGTATTTTCGTGTTGAAATGTGAAACCATTCTCTAACCCCATCCTTTGTTACTCGCCCCCTTTTAATTTCCTCAGTAGCTTCTGCCTCCTTTGCCCATGAGAAGTTCAAGGTCCTTGTTCACTACTATCATATCTTTGTATTTGTATTGTGGTTTCAATTAAAAAACACAACCAGTTGCATCCCCATTAGGCCCTGTCCTCTATACCATATATTCATTCAAGGCTCTGCACAACCATGATCTGGCTCTTGTTCATCTTTACACTTTCCCTCATGCAGGTAGTGTTGTCTAGTTCCTCTATTTTTCACCATTTCTTTTGCGCCAAACTCTGGTTCCATTGGAAATGATAGCAAAATTCCTTTGTTAAAACAAGATTCAGTCCCTCCTTTGTTCTGCCACTTCTCAGTGTCATGCCTGGCTTCACATTGTATCCTCTCCTTGGAACATATCTTGCCCACTTTCTTCCATGCTCTTAAGTTTCATGTCTTGTGCCTGGCCTTCCAAGGCTGATGTCTTCCATGTTGTGGACCAGAGTAGGACTCTACACAGTTGTACTCGAATGCTGGATTATTGGTCTTTTGTGTAGGTTCTGCTAAATGAGATTGCAAATTCATCAGTGTGAGGACTTGGTCCTTTCTGTTTCTGTGAAGTGTCTTTTGACAACAGTGGCCGCTGTACATGTGCTGACGATGAAGATAAGAAATTGTAACCATATTATTCAGCTTTGCTCTTCAGTATAGTCATAGGCAGATCCAGGATTTTGTAAAGGGAAAAGCTCCAGAGCTGCTCTTGTCCTACTCCAGCTAGGCGTGGGGAAACGGTTTCAGCCAGGGACAGCAGCAGCAATGGTGGTAGCGGGAGGGTTCACCTGTTCCTCCCTCTGCTTTTGCCTGGTGGTAAACATCTGGGGGGAGTGGGTACAGAGGGGGAACCTACCTGCTGCAGCTGGTGTCAGCTAAGCCTAGCAGGCCTCATGTAGCCCAACTGGCATGGGGCAAAACTTGCTTCTGGCAGTCCCTCCTACCCCTGGTCAGGTAGGGACAGTGGTAGGTAGTGATGGGCAGGGGAGAGAGAGGGAGATAATGCAAAGGGAGGAGACATATTGCTGAGCATGGAGGTGAAGGGGGCATTCTTATCTGCTTCAGGGACTTAAGCCCTTGTGTGCTGCTTGTGCAGTGAGATCTAAAAGAGGGATGCAGCTGTGATATTGCACCTCCTCTGGATCTGCCCCTGAGTATAGTTACCTCTCCAGGGAGATCTGTTATGTTAATATCGAGTGTCAAATTAAAGTGGATTGGGCTGGCCAGGGAGCTTTGCTAACGTTTCTCTATTCTTTTAGGTTAACTGTAATGGCTTCACAATCGAAGATGAAGAACTGTCTCACCTGGGGTCAGCAGTATTTCCTGAGTAAGCTGGATTTTACTTTTTTTTGGAATATGCATATTTATTTTAAAAAATCTCTATGGCATATTAGGGGATGTTGTACTCAAACTGAATGAAAATGTAAATTAAGATATGCCTTTCTATTAGTATTGTTTCTAATAAAATACTTAATTTATCTTGCATTTCACTTATCTTGGTGTCCTACAACCCACTTCAATAAAACACTCAAGGATATGCCATGTTTACGTGACTGTAAGATGAGGATTTTTTTTCTCCCAGTCAGTATGAGGAAGAAAAGACTCTTGTCTGTATTTGCATACAAGGAAATCTCATTGAATACCTTGGCTATCATTAAACTGCTGCCAGAAGCTGCATGTGCTCAGAAATGGAAGCCAATTATGAAATTAATTAATTGCAGCCAACACTGAACATGCTTGTGAAACACATGGCCCATATTGGGCAAACATACTGATGGGAACCTTTCTTTGTATGTGGCCCTTAAAAAGGGTAGGTGTTCCCTCCCTAGGGACCTGGCACCAGGCCTGGAGGTACCGCAATACCAGACCAGCACTAGGAGCACCAGAGCCAGCCCTGACACCCCATCAAATGCTACTACATTTTATTTTAGCCAAAAAGACTGAGATGCTGATGGAAACCTACCACAAAGATCAGTTAGTGCAGCCTATTTGAATAACATATAGTACCCATTGTACTCAGTCCCCCTCTCTTTTTCAACTCTTGGTGAACCACTACATTAATTACATTTCAACTTCCCCTTCATGCACACAGCTGAGCACTGCCTTTCTTTCCCATTTCCATTGACTCCTGTTTCTTCACCAGCCTTAAATCCCTGGCAAATATCACTTTAACCTCCATGTAGGTAAGATGCTCTGTTACCCCCTCTCTTGGCCTGTTGTTTGTGCTTAATGTGGCCCTGCCTTCCGTGAGTTAGAGCTGGACCAGGTGATCCCACGCCTCATCTGCATGTAAATTTTTGGAGGATCCCAGGACTCGTGACAACAACATCTGGTTCCAGTTATGAGTGAGGGGCTAATTAGCACATGGATCCTTTGTGGGGGTATCTGGAATGTATGCACATAGTGAGCAGTGCTGGGCTATGGGATCACCAAGGCTTGAAAGGCTGTTGATTCTGCTGAGGCCCAGCCCACTGAACTGTATGATAAATCATGAGACTTTTGGCTTTGGACTAATATCATGCATAGTTTGTACTATGCATAAGTAGGTACACAAGTGCTGCTTAAAAGTGTGTTTATGGAGTACCTGTGCTAAAACTTGTGGCAGTTTGCAAAAAGGTAAAATGCATCAATTCTGGACAGACTTAGTCTGTGGGTACTTGTAGTAGTTTGCCCTTATGCAAATTACTGCAGGTATGCTTATTTCAAAGTCAGTGTTTTCAGGTTTGCCCCTCACTTTCATGTGCTCAGGGAGAGCAGGGTCTGACAGTAAGGGGGGGAAGGGGCTTCAGGCAGAAGAAATTGTGGGGGCAGAGGGCAAGGAGGCTACCTGCCCCCCCCTCCTTTTTTTAAATTCCCCTGCTTTAGCTGTGGGAGCAGGACAAATTCAAAGCAAACCTCCAATGATTAAATTCTGTACCTGGAGAATTTATAACAACTATATACATTTTTAAGACATAGAATCTAATTATTGGGGGATTGACTTTATTTAAGGTCCTCTTATATTCAAGCAAATATGGTAGTTTATGATTTCATATGGTGTTGATTTAAAACCTAATGGGTTCATCTCAGTTGCACTATGAGTTTGTTTTGAAGCCATAAAACTCAGGTTGTGAACTAAAATCCAAGATTCATATGAACTAGTAATTTGCTGATCAGTGGTCTTTGCAGATGACTGATGTAATAATGGTGCCTACTCTGAGCACCTACCCTGGAACAGCTGGTGGTATCCCATCTAGATGCAGGTGTAATATAACCTGGTGTTAATGTGCGTCTGTGTTCAGGTCCAAAGCCGACGACAGTCCTCCCCTGTTGGAGTAGCTGCATCCACACCAAGGGTGGAGCAAAAGTAGGTTTAGACTGGATATTAGGAAAAAGTTCTTCACTGTTAGAACAAACAGGTTCAGGGAGGTGATTCTCCCTCTCTACTTGGCACTGGTCAGGCCACAGCTGGAGTACTGTGTCCAGTTCTGGACGCTGCAGTTCAAGCAGGATGCGGACAACCTGGAGAGGGTCCAAAGAAGAGCCACTCATCTGATTTGGAGGCGTGCAGGGAAGGCCCTACGAGGAAAGGCTACGGGACTGTAACCTCTTCAGCCTGTCCAAGAGAAGGCTGAGAAGGAGACCTTGTGGCGGCATATAAATTCATAAGGGGAGAGCAACATGAAGTGGGCGATGATCTGTTTACCAGGGCACCCCCTGGAACAACAAGGAACAATGACCATAAGCTATTGGAGAGTCGGTTTAGACTGGATGTTAGAAAAAACTTCTTCACCATCAGGTTTGCCAGGATCTGGAACGGTGCTCGCCACATCCTTGGAGGTCTTCAAGAGGAGACTGGACAGACACCTGGCTGGGATCACATGATCCCAGGTTTGGTGACACTTTTGTTGCCTTCCAGGGGCAGGGGGTTGGACTAGATGGCCCACTGAGGTCCCTTCCGACCCTAGAATCTATGAAACGGTGAGGCAGTGGAATAGACTGCCGAAGGAAGTTGTGGACTTTCCATCACTGGAGATGTTCAACAAGGTTGGACAGCTACTGGTCAGGGATGACACGGGCATAGCAGAACTGAAGCATAGCTATGGGTATTTCTCATGCTTCTGGGCTTTGTTGGTTGCCACATGGGAGTGGGAGGAAATCTTGTGCCTTTGACCCCCAAGCTTTCTGCTGCGTGTCAAGGTTGTGGGGTTTTTTTTGTCTTTTAACCCTTCTGCAAAGGCATTAGGTGTTTCATAGATGTTAGGGTCGGAAGGAACCTCAATAGATCATCGAGTGCGACCCCCTGCATAGACAGGAAAGTGCTGGCTTCAAATGCCCCCAGCCAGATGCCCATCCAACCTCCTCTTGAAGACCCCCAGGGTAGGGGAGAGCACCACCTCCTTTGGGAGACCATTCCAGACCTTGGCCACTCTAACTGTGAAGAAGTTCCTCCTAATGTCCAGTCTAAATCTGCTCTCTGCTAGCTTATGGCCATTATTTCTTGTGACCCCCAGAGAGGCCATGGTGAGTAGAGCCTCACCAATTCCCTTCTGCGCCCCCATAATGAATTTATAGGCAGCCACAAGGTCTCCTGTCATCCTTCTCTTGCGGAGGCTGAAGAGGTCCAGGTGCCTTAGTCTCTCCTTGTAGGGCTTGGCCTGCAAGCCCTTAACCATGCGAGTGGCCCTCCTCTGGATGCTCTCCAGGTTATCCACATCCCTCTTGAAGTGTGGTGCCCAAAACTGCATGCAGTACTCCAGCTGTGGTCTGACCAGTGCCCAATAGAGGGGAAGTATCACCTCCTTGGTTCTGTTTGTCATGCATCTGCTGATGCATGATAAAGTGCAGTTAGCTTTTCTGATGACTTTGTCACACTGACGACTCATGTTCATCTGGGAGTCCACTAGGACTCCAAAATCCCTTTCTGCTTCTGCGCTACCGAGCAGGTCATTTCCTAGGCAGTAGGTGTGCTGGACATTTTTCCTCCCTAGGTGCAGCACTTTGCATTTCTCCTTGTTAAATCACATTCTATTGTTTTCTGCCCATTTGTCCAGCCTGTCCAGGTCTGCCTGTAGTTGTTCCCTGCCCTCCAGTGCGTCCACTTCTCCCCACAGTTTGGTATCATCTGCAAACTTGGATAGAGTACACTTCACTTCCCTCATCCAAGTCACTGATGAAGACATTGAAGAGTATCGGTCCAAGGACTGAGCCCTCTGGGACCCCACTACCCACTCCCTTCCAGGTTGATACTGACCCATCTACTACCACTCTCTGGGTATGACCCTCTAGCCAATTTGCCATCCACCGGACTGTGTAATCATCCAAGTGACAGCCTTTTAATTTGTTCACCAGTTTGGGGTGGGATACCGCATCGAAGGCCTTCCTAAAGTCTAAGTAAACGATATCAACCCCTACTCCTGTGTTGAGGTGTTTTGTAACCTGGTCATAAAAAGAGACTAGATTAGTCAGGCATGATCTACCTGCTACAAACCTGTGCTGGTTTCCCCTCAGCATAATTTTTTCCTGCTGGGCTCTCACATATATGAGCCTTAATAATCTTTTCAAAGACTTTGCCAAGGATGGAGGTGAGACTGACTGGCCTATACTTGCTTGGATCCTCCTTCCTCC